TTTACATTATTCGGACTATTGTCCTCATCTTTGTCGCCATATTTATCACAACGTTTCGGCCGTTGTACGCTCCGGCCTTCTTCGGATGGTTGGAATGTCGAACTGAGCCCTTTATTTCGCCTCCATCCATTGAACTGAACCCTTTATTTCGCCTCCATCCACTGTGCCATGTGTCCTCAAGGACACATGGCACAGTGGATGGAGGCGTTGGTTAGATCCAGTGACAAGACACAAAGAGTGTGAGATCAATACCCGGTTAAGGCAGTGGAGAACTTTCAGAGGGAAAATTAACAGGAGATAACTGATAACTGACATCCATTAGACATGGCACTTGGAACTAGAACAGTTTATCCCAGTGAGCGAAAAAAAGGGTTGGGATTTGACTCCTGCAACTCTTCTGGATGGTCGACCTGTTTAATTTGATGAATGTCATCTTAATCCGTGCCTTTAGATCACCATTATTGTTAAAACTGCGCTCCACACATAATAATCAAGGGGGTTGCAGTCTGGGGAGTTAGGGGCCATATTTAGGGAGTGATGTGGTAATAAAAATTGTCTGGCAGCCATGACTGGTCCCCCTGCTTGTATGACATGGTACAGGGTTCTGTTTCTAGATATAGGCTCTTCCAGCAGCTACCTAGGGCAACATTACCTCATCAAGATACTTGATGTCGATCACCGTATTGATTCTGAGAACCTCATCAACAAATTCGGGAGTTCTTTTCCTATCAGAATGAATAGAATGAGTTTTCCGAGCTGCCGTACCTTCGTAATCACCATTAGACTCATCCAACTCTTTTAGAATCCTCTGCACTGTCCTCAGATTGACGCCCCAAAACTCTGAAACGTTCTTATTACGCGAATGCCAAGCAACACAGCATGCTGTTTCCAAAATTCTGGTGGAGTGAATTGCTCTTTTTTTCACAGACCGTGCCCAACTGGCCTTGATATACTGTGTACTCGATAAAATCAAACGGGCCATTAAAAATATAAAATGGCGACATTTTACCTCTCATAAAATGTATATTCTTTTGAGATATGCATACATTTCTTCCGCCAGTCCAAGAAGAAGTTGTATTACTACCACACATAACAGGCAATGTTTAAATATAAGACAAAAAAGAAAACAATTAGTTACTTTAAATAATATGTGGAAATAACCATTCTTTGCCTGATGAAGGTCACAAGACCCGAAACCCGTCTAGCAAAATAGATGGAAAATATCTATATAGCATCTCATCAGGTGGTGAATAAAGATGGTTATAGTCATCTTTGTTCACCATCTGATGAGATGCATCAAAACAAATATGTATTTTTGATTAGGCATCAAAACAAATATGCATCTTTGTAGTGGTTACTTCTCTGTCCATGTGTAGTGTAATAACTTATAATAACTATTGCTCTATTTATTGAGACATCGTTTAAATTAATATTATGTACGTTTGAATTTATATTCTTTTTTGTTCTCAGGACATTCATATATATATATATAATATATATATATAACAATAAGGAAGCAGTCTTAAGACTATATTTCTTCATATATATATATATATATATATATATATATATATATATATATATATATATATATGTATATATATATATTGAACAATACAAAATATTAAAAAATTAAAATCTTCAGACACACTGAGTTGTATATTAACATACGTTCGTTTTTATTATTATTTCATTTAGATTCCTCGACTAGTTTCGGCGAACATGGCCATCATCAGGAGAAAAATAATTTTCTGCTTGCTGGTAGCAGTGAACTACAGAAATTAATGTCTCGATGGATAAAATGAACTTTGTAGGTAGTTTTCATTTGTTGTTATTTTTTTAACATGAATTTTGGTCAGTCCTTGTGTTGGTCGAACAGTCTCTTTTAAGTTGTTATTTGAGATAGGAGCTGGATGGATTCATGCTGCTCTGAATTCCCTTGGTCATTTTGACAGTTTTATTGGTTACTGGAAAGGGGATGTGTCTCTGCTAAGCGTGTGTATTATTTGGTTCTTAGGGAGTGAGTGAGCATGATGTGTGTAATCGTGTATATTACTATGGGTGTGTGTTATCATTTGGCTCATTAGGGATTGAGTGAGTATGATGTGTGTAAGTGTGTATCGTGTGCGTGTGTGAGGCATCAACACCTCCGTAAGCATGTCTGTCTCGTGTGGGTGAGAAATGTCGGTAGGTTTTGATTTGTAGGGTTATATATTAATACTATCTATATTGTTAAATTTATGGTTGATCCCAGCTGGATAGTGCGTTTTTAAACGTTGTATCCACTTATTTTCATGGAACTCTAAAATCTTTCTAATTTTATGTGCTCTGGACTTTTCTATTCTCTCAATTTAATTGAATTTGGCATAGGTTTTATATATATATATATATATATATATATATATATATATATATATATATATATATATATATATATGGTGTAACAGTAAAATTATCCAAATTTTGTAACAGTAAAATTGTACAATTGTTAAGCTTTGAACGGTTGTATCTTAGAAATGATTAAAGATATCTTACTGGAATTCTCCGAGGTTTTATAACACTATTCGACTCTATTTTGAGCAATTAGAATGTATAATTACTCTCCAAATATAACAGAAGTATCGTGATGAAATTGATTATAAACGAAAATGGCATGTTCATCAGTAATGGATCATAGCTAAGTATCGGAAGCTTATGAAGTATTTAAATAATGTTCAAATATATATATATATATAGTAATTATAACATAAGTGAGTAACATCACATGAGTAGTGAGTTCGATCCTCTCTGGGTGCCCCATACTTTCGGCCTTGTGCCACATCTAAGTTATGCTTGGAAAATCACTATATAAATACATATATAATATATACTTATACAAAACAAAAACAAATACATATAAATAAATAAATTCTTTCTATCAAGTTAATTAAAAAATATGAAATTGAAAGACGCATGTTAGACTATTAAAAACATAAAGTAAAGATAAATATACATATAAATACACATATAAATACACATTATTTCATTATTATAATATTATTATAACATTATTCCTATTAAGATCCAAGTATCAATTTATCAGTTAAATTCGATGCTGGTGAGAGGAGTTTCAATGGACGCAATGTATTTTACTCACACCAATGCATATAAAAGCATATATAAACAATATACATATACAGAAGCACACAACAATAAAAGTATCCATAAAGAAAAAAAAATATATATATATATAAATATATGGAGATGGACACCTATATACAAACAGATGTAATTGGACATAAAAAACAAGCACATAGGAACACAAAGATATAAACAAGCACCTAGAAAATTACGCCCATATAGAACAGGAGTAGAAACAAATATACTCACGTACAAACTAACATCCTTACAAAAATTGCCATATTAAATTCAGAGTCTATATAAGATTAATTCAATAAGAGTTACAGCTATTTAATAATAACTAAATAATCCCCCCCCGCAAAAAATTCAGATTTACAATGCCATTTCATCTTTACATACAATATTCTGTTTAGCTAGAAAACAAGTTAAATGATAAGTTATGCCTGCAATTGACAGTGAGCTCCTTCCTTTGATTTAATAGGTTTATCTTGTCCTTCAAAGTAATGATTTCTTGCTTATCATTGAGACAAAAGTAACATGGTGCAAACGTTGAATTCGGATATATATATATATATATATATATATATATATATATATATATATATATATATATATATATATCATTGAATACGACAGACAAAGGTGCTTTTATTTAGTTTTTTATACAATTTCTCATGCGATCTAATAATTTTTTTTCTTTTCTGATGATAAATTATATAAAAAGCCTTTTCCGGCAATACATTTAAACATTTTCAAGAATTAAATATTTAACTGTTAAATAAGAAATAGTTTGTTTCATGTATGTATTTATATAATGTTTTCATTTTTCAAAACACGGTCAAGATATTGTGTCCATGTTCATAGTTGATATTATTGAGTGTTGTTTTGTTTTTTTTGTTTTTATTTTGCATGTAGATGATGCTATTATATTAGTGTTGTTAACAAGTATGTTACAAATAGTCTCCGGTAGGTCTCCATGGATATTTAAATGAGATGTAATTGAGCTATGGTCAGAAAGGTGTAGGGTGAGTCTGCGTGTCAAACCTGTTGCATAATAATATATATAATTATATAATTATTAACGAATTTTGATTGATCAGGAATACAATTATATATATATATATATATATATATATATATATATATATATATATATATATATATATATAGATATATATATATATATATATATATATATATATATATATATATATATATATATTCCAGGATAATTTTCCAAATTATTCAAGATGACTTTCACCCTCTCTATAATTGTACGTTGTTAAAAGTAAGGAGTAACAAGGTGCTTCACACGTACAATTTCAGTTTTATGTCTTTTTTCACAGCTCTTTGGACTGTCATACCTGAAACTCCTCCCACACGTGTCAAACATCCTATGGATTGTGTTGGATCTTTTCTAATTGTTCTCTTTAGATGAAATTATGATCCCATTTGCTGTTGTGACCTCCTGATCCATTTTTCCTTTCTGCTGTTTCCTCTTTTTTTTTAAATTATTAAAATTATCGTGTGTGTGTGTGTCTATCTAACTATATAAATCAGTATATTTTCTCTTCATCAATATAGATGTAACTGTACATATCTCTCTATATCTATCTACTGTCCATCAAAGGGAATCTATATTTGTATCTGTCTATCCGTCTGTCTAGATATCTTCACCTTTTTCTCTCCCTCTCTCTCTCTCTGTATATGTATATATATATATATATATATATAGTTTATGAAAAAGTAAAGTCTGATGATCCGCAGTCCTTTTAAAAGGGCTGTGGCGAAATAATCATGGAACCTTAAAGTGGTCTTTTTTTATTTAATATATATATATATATATATGTATATATATATATATATATATGTCAGTACGT